GGGGATGAGTCAGTAACGAGGCCCACGTGGGAGGCATTGGCCACCCAAATCTCAGCCACCTATTTAGCACAAAATTTTATTACTTAAATCAGCTAGGTGATTAGTAATTTAAGTGGAGATGATATAAAAAAGGATTTTTGAATTCTGCAGGTATCCTAAGGCAGCTTTCGCATAAAAATCATTTAAAGTTTTAAATTTTTTATAATTGCTTTCATAGTTAATGTCAGTGGCAAGTGGATGTGAATGCCTTTAGTTAGATTTACACATTCGTCATTTCCCCTTTACCTTCTGCTACCGTGATGAAGAACAGCGCTCATTTCACACGAACTTGTTATAATTCGTGCGCTTATCCCAGTTAAATCTCTGACAATTTAGACGATGATAGGGCGGGTGAAGGGACAGATTGACTACCCTGCTTCTGTTCACGCTCTGCACGGCTTCTATCATCAGCCTCTCATTCTACGAACCTGCCTCCTCTGCCTACGTAGCTTAGCTACCAAAATGCCTATATAAGTGAATGAAACCTTCTCATATGCGCTGAAAGCTTTACATTTACCTCAGTCATTGCCATGAATAATTTACTGCCATTGCTTACGCCTAGTTTCTCACTCTTTACTGTTTCATCCACATAGCTAGGTCTCCAATCGTCCTTTCATGGGTGAACGACAAATCCGCAAAATAGACGTCGCATTGCCTCATGTACTCCACGGAGGACTCTGCTTCCCTACCACAATCGTCAAAGTTGAGGGAGGAGATGAAGTGAAGTCAATTAGAAGAAGTTTAGAAAGAAATCCCTTCCCTTTAAACATGCAGGATTTACAAATTCGTTGAGAACCTTGGGTTACCACTGCCGGGATACTTATTGAGTGGCAAGAAGGTGCAGACTACTTTTACTTCTACTTGCGCCTTTGCCAACTCTTACGATTATGCTTCTGCTTCTGGCTTGCCAGATCTACAAATCAAATAATAATTGAATGACTGACCAAATAAGAGGTGCAAAAGAGAAAATAATGTAGGCGATAATGACGAAGACGCGGAGACGTAACTGATGAATATGCAAGGATGCTCACGCAGTACGACACATCCAGCCTCTCTCAGAGACGCCTCATCCACCTCAACGTTGGTTTACGCCCGTGCTCCTACTCCTACCATAAAAAGTCTTAGCTCTTTGCTTTCTTCCTTACTTCTTTTACACTTTCTCTCTTCATCTTCATCCCTTAGCTATCTACTTTTCCTCTATCATCTCCTTTGTCTTCATCTACGTCACTCCCAATACCTATCTAATATAGGCACTGGCACCCTGTCTATGGATTGGTGTCCATAGCCAGATAGATCTAAATCAAGTATTCATAATGTCTATCTTATTCGCAAGTGTGTTTGTTGAGTACTTTGCCACACCAGACATAGCTGGCACCTCGCGTAGCCATTCGCTGACGGGATTAATACAGCTGCGGCCTTCTGTCTCATATACCAGGCAGAATAGCGCTACTATTCATTTCGATGTAATCTGCAATTAATTTTGCTGGCGTTTGGCATGTCGACGTGACTTCTGTCTCATCGACAGTGTTTGGCCACTAGAACGTTGCATAAGCTGTGGCAGGAAGTAAGGATGTGATGTCGCTAGGCCTGTCACCTCACCTGCATTGAAGTGCATGGCATTCTAGCCACCAACTGCGTGATCCGTCAGAAGAGGGCTTAAATTTGGAAATGGCATAATCCACTTCTTGTGAATGGGCTCAAATGTATTGCAGGTGCTACCTCAGTTTGTATTGTGCACTATTCCCGCGTTACCAGGCAGCCTTGATCGTGGGATCTTTGGTTCTCCTGTGGCATTGCATATTCACTGTACGCTTCAGCGGATATGTCTCTCAAATAATTGCGCTAGGTAGTGTCGATAATTGTATCTACAGAAAGGGCGGTGACCTGACCTTCTTCGCGTCCATTTATTTACCCGTTTTCCATTTTAAATGGGAATGTAATGGCGACACGGACGTTGTAATCGCCGCAGCGGTTAAAAATGACACGCGATCAGTATCTTAGATACTGCGAAGGATCTACTGAAAAACTATTCATTGCAGTGTCAGCTCTTTAGACAGCAATACGGATTTCGTGGAAC